CATATTAATTATAATGTGGCGAGAAGACAATAATAAGTTCCAGCTCTGATTATGTCCATCATACAACGGATGAAAGCTCAGCCCGTTTTCCCCCGAAGCGAGGAAGGATGTCTCGTAGACTGTGTTAACCTGAACGTCGTATTAAAGCCAAACGGCTGCAGTACAATGGGATTCAGCCGTCGTCTATTCGTGAGATCAACATATGACGAAATAAAGGTCTCCTCAACAATATTGAACTTTTTGCGAGGGAGGCTAGTAAATTTCCGTCTCCATATGAGAGCATTGATATCCCCGAAATGGCTTGATGATTAACCATAATTACTAAGCCAATTCAGGGTATCTTATTACTTTGTATCCTTAATTTAGGTCACTCATATAGGCTCATATAGCTTTGAGTGATATCTTGCAGCCAGCTTGGTTTTATTTTATTTCAGTCTATTCTTCTACCATTTTCATGAATTCATTCTTATTCAAAATTACTGTATTTTCTCAAGGAATATGCATCTCCTACTAAAATTTCGTAATCTCTGTCCATCTATATAGCTACTACCATACACGCCTTTCTTTAAATTGGGTGCAATAATTACTTCTGGTCTGTTTAAAGTCACATTCATGTGAGTAATGAAGCCTACAATCCTTGAAAATTAAATGTTTCACTTTGTGTAAATGAAAATTAGCTCACCTGGCAGCGATTTAACTCTGCCAGAAGGCGTACAATCTCATCGCTGGTATAGATTCCGGCTACGGAGTCAGCTGTATAGCAATGATATATTGAATCCTCCGTAATACCTGCCAGCCCTGCTAGCATGGCATTTACCGCAGGACTCTGACAGTCATAGGCCACCACATGTAGTTGGGGCGCAGTGAGTCCGGCCATGGCTTCTTCGACGAAATCAATCAAGATATCACTGTTCTGGTCAGGACAGCTGCCGCAGACAATGAGCAAGCGATCAAAGGTATACCGAGGGAAGGAGAGTATCTGAAAAAAATAACATGAAAAGGTTTGGTTCGGCATCCGTCTTAACAAGGACTGAAAAAAAGAATTCGGTTGAATCGAAGAGATAAAGACCAGGAAGGTGTGGCCTCATGTATGGCGCGGTCTCCTTTCGTTTTATAGAAGTTGTTTGACCTTGTTTTCACCACTTGGTCATATTGGCAGGGCGACCTAGAGAAATGCACCTTGTTCAGAGTTCATGGTATGCATGATAATCTTCAGAGTCGGACCGTGAACTTGTTACATTCCCAGAATTTGTTGATTGTAGATGTGCATGGACAAAGCGTTGCTTAGCCCATGAGAATTTTTACCATCATTAATCATTTTTTGACAATATTTTGTTTATCATAATGTGAAGGACTTTTTATAAGAAGAAAACTATTTTGACATAACTTCATCATATCACTAATCCAGTGAGATAGATCGACAATGCACAAACTCAAATAGGTCTAAATCCTTGCCGGCTAATGAGGTATAAAATGAGTTGATTCTAGCAACCACCCAGCCATAAATGCCAGCTAACAGATTTTTGAACGGAAAAAAGTTTTTAATACAGTATTAATGAGCATTGAATGCCAAAGTAACTTGGATAAAGTAAAAATAATGCTCGGACTTATCAATGTATTTCATCAAAATGTACATCCCAACTGTGTGTTCCTATCTAAAAGTGACAGTAAAGGTGAACTCACTAAAATTTATTAGAATCATCTGACGAGAGTGTAACATAAAGCATGCAGTTTTATAGGCAAATACGTCTTAGAAAATAGTATCCAAATGACTTAACTGTATAGCAAGCACAATTTTCGACTCACTTCTAAGTGAGCCTCGTAAGGATAAGAAAACGCTATATTTCAGTTTATCGTGACTGTGTTGTCTGGAAATTACAATTTATCCTAGCGTACAAACAACCTTATTACTTTGACGGATTGCATTTCGGTACCAACGATAACAACGCCAGCAAAACGTAAAGAAATCTATTCAGCCTTACGTTATTAGATAAAAGTCAGAACCAAATAAATAACTAGATATGACCAGCTAAATTTTGGTAAGTGAATTGGTGCAGAATCTTAAGTCATTGGCTAGGTATATGAATGGTTATTTCTCCATTTAGAAGCAAGGTATAGATATAATTTATTTTTGCCACTTTAACACTGCGCCATTAATAAAAAATGAACAATGCTAGCCATTGTGGATATGAAGACCAAAATGGTGTAGCCTTCTTTTTGGTCGAAGTCTTCCTTAGTGTGGGTTCGACCTTGTTTTCGCAACTTGATCAAAGCGTCAGGGAGACCTTGTGTCCTCTGCCATAGTATTAGTGATTTCCAGCATTGGACCATTGGCTATGTACATTCCCAAACGTTTAGCCGGCATCGCCAATGAGAGGCGCCAACGTAAGGACAGAATTTAAACTTATCAAAGTGACAAGTGAAGGCAATCCCTTTGACAA